GGTGCCCTTTAGGGAGACACCAGGCACAGCCACGAGGGTCGAGGCTCCATGGCGAAGACTGCAGCCAGTGACAGCAGCCTGAGCGATGGCCTCTCTGCCCCGGCTGCCACCAGCCTCCCCTTCTCACTTTGCTCTGTTCATCCAAGACCAGGGCACTCACTTCCGTACAGAAGCCAACACTTTCCATAGATCTGGTATTGGATCATGACCCTAATCCAAAAAATGCCTGCAGTTGAGCCCCCACACACTGAGGGGCAGCACCCACAAGTGGAATTAGGTCAGCGCTGTTTTCTCTCCATCACTCCACCTAAAGCCTGACCGGTGTCTGGAAGCCCAGTGCCAAGGCGTCTTCCCTATTTCGAGGTTCTCCGCTAGCCATTCCCGCCTCACTCCCGACTGCTGTCACCATCCCTGGCAGGTGTCCTCAAATATGCAGATTCAGACCTGGGTGAGGGAAGCAATAGGACGTCCTCAAATAACCAGCCTTGTTTTTGAATACAAAGCTACACTCTGTTATGAAACTGTCCCCCCAATATTCATATGTTGAGGTCCTAACCCCAATGTGACTGTATTTGGAGACAGGGCCTCTAAGGGGTAGTTTTGGTTAAATAAGGTCATATGTGTGAAGCTCTAATCCAATAGAACTGGTGTCCTTGAAAGAGAAGGAAGAGACACCAGACATAGCGCCTGTGGGGACACAGCAAGAAAGTGGCTATGTGTAAGCGAGGAAGAGACTCACCAAGAAGCGAATCTGCCAGGCCCCTGACCTTGGACTTTCCAGCCTCCAGAACTGTGAGAAATACATTTCTGTTTCCCACCCAGTCTGTAGTGTTCTGAGGGCCACCCAGGCACACAAACAGGCATGCTGAACAGGATGAAGCAGGGACAAAAGTTCACTGAAACTGCTCCTGTTGGCTTCCCTGAAATGGCTTATCTTCAAGAGTCAACTCACATGTAGAATCAGCTGCCACCACCGTCTGCTCACATCTGCCACAGCAAAGGCACGGCACGAGGTCCAGGACACTGGGTGCCCGCAGTGCATGCTGGCAGATCAGTAGCTCCATAAAAACAACTCCGTCCAGCAACGTTGGTGTTCCTTACCCGCTGCCTGCTTAGCCGGGGTGCAGGGCACCGAAGGAAAGGACTTACACCCAAGTTCAAGATCGGTCATCCTTGGCCCGGCCCCTGAGCTCGGCTCCTCACGCTAAAGTAAGAACGGGAGCCCATTTTGCCATGTTATTTCAAATATTCAATATGATGGCGTATGTGAGGAGCAATCTGCAAACTATAAATGACCATACAAGCATTAGGATCTTGAATATTTCTCTATGGCATTTTAGATCTTCATTAACCACTGACCAGCAAAAACCATCCCATTTTCCAAACTATCTCAAAAGAGGAAATTGCAGTATTTAAATTCTGAGTGCACTTTACGCTTTGTTTCTTAAAACCATTCATTAACACCACAAATGGCAGGACAAAGTGAAGTGGTACTAAATAACTAACTTACCGGGCCAGGAAGGCAAGACTTCGCCCAGTTTCCAGTGCAGGCTGACACGGCCAGGCGGCGCATCTACTGCGAAGTATTTGGCAAACCCACCAGCTGGTTATATAGTTGGGTTTGCTTTTTGTTGTGTTTTTATTTGTTTTTTGTTTGTTTTGTTTTTAAGTTTTGCTGAAGGACTATAAGTGATTCATTTGCTAGAGAATTTACCAAATAGAGAGACCACCAGACCAAATTCTCCCACTGTCTGGACATCTGGAGACAGATTTTCACCACGTCAAAGAGGTTCTGACTGAGGGACAAGGGTTCTGGAGATCACTCATTATTCCTCTCAGTGGGAACGAAAGCCCTACTAGGTCAACAGGCCCGGAGTATAATATTCATTCGCTCAATCAGCATTTGCTGGGCATCCATGTGAATAAGGTACAAACACAAAGAAGCCTCAGGGCAGATTGTGATAAAGGCCTGTGTGTTTGTGTGTGTTGAGGGGGAGGGTTTAACTTGCTAATGTTGATTACATTTTCATAAATACACATACTTTGGGATCTGTTCAAAATGAAACGCAGGAAAAGAAAAAAGTCTAATTTTTAAAATTGAGTTACTAAAGTGGTCTGAAGAAATAAACTATTTTTACTGGAGCTGCATACTTTTGATAACCCATGAAAAGGCTGCCTTGACCTCCTTCTATGTCGCCTTAACTCAAGCATTCAACAACGTGCTACATGATATCATTTCAGCTTAGGCCCTTTGAAAACATTCCATGAAGGGTTTCCATCACTCATGTAAGGAAAGTGAAACAATCTGGAAGTCCCATTTGCAATTCCTCCAGATGAGAAAACTAATTTCCTAAGCCTCTGGGGTGAGTTCTGGGGAGTTTCCAGTTCATTTGTGAAAAAGAGTTAGCGGACCAGTTTTCCCAAACATTGTCCCTGCCCTTCCAGCAAGCAGTCCAGCTTTTCAGCCAGTCAGTCTCATTTGTTCAAGGAGGAGATCTGTGTCCACGGCCCTCTCCCCAGCACACACTGCAAGTTAGTCTGGCAGCTGAGAGCATGTGTGTCCCAGAGAGCAACAAGGCTTCACCAGGGCAAAAGACCCCAATGCAAGGAAGCAAGTAAAGGACACAAGTCACCTCGGGCAACCAGGGAGTCTTTAGGGTATTTTAAAAAGTTATCCAGCCCTGGCCAGTTTGGCTCAGCGGTTAGAGCATCGGCCTGCGGTCCAGAGAGACCCGGGTTCAGTTCCCGCTAAGGGCACGTACCTCGGTTGCAGTTTGTCCCCAGCCCTGGTTGGGTTGTGTGGGTGGCGGCCACTCGATGTGTCCCTTTCACGTCGATGTTTCTCTCTCTCTCCCTCCTACTCTATCTGAACAAAAAGTGGAAAAATGTCCTTGGGTGAGGATAAAATAAATAAAATAAATAAATAAAGGTTATCCAGTTTGTGCACATGCAAGAAAGGTTTCTGGTGTATTTAATGTGGATGTTAACACATTTCTCAAATACTGTGTACATATGATCTGTTTGTTGGAATACCTTGATAATCCCTCCAAGCCAAATGACAGAGGATGGGAACGTGGCAGGGTCCAAGGGATCGGGATGAAAAGAAATTAAATATGTAGCATGTAACAAAGCCTGCAAACTGAGCACCTCTACCTGTAATGCACCTTAAACCAGTCCTGCCCAGTTTCTCCACAAGTGGGCAGAGGCAGTGATGCAGCAGTCAGTTCTCTGGATGGCGACTGGCCACCAGTTTCATCCTTTGTTCCATGATCAATCCTGGTGAGTGTTTCTGTGAGAAGCTGGGAGCCCAGGTGGGGCCTCCAGAAGCTTCCCACTGCTTCAAGTTCTCAATTTCAGCCTCAAGTAGCCGCAGCCAGGACACCACTAAGATCCCGCCACTGTCTTCCACCAAAACTACCTCTAACCAACCTCAAGGAGAGAATTTTTAGGGAGGATTTTCCCTGTAGTCACTACTTCACAAGCATGGTTAGCACTGGATCCCAGAAATCCCTGTTCAAAAACCTAAAACTGCACCTCCAGCCCAATCTCTGCGGTCAGACCATTTCCATACCCCATGGCCACTGACTGCCACTCTCTTCATACAGGCGCCGCAGGTGCCTGAGTCCTGTTACTAATTTACCAGTTTATCTAGGAACACTGGGTGAGTGAATTAAGGGAGTGTTCACGAGCAAAGTTGAGGTCTGTCATGATGAGTTAAAGCAACTCAGGTTAATTTTATTTTCAGTCATTTTAAGGCTTGAAAAGCACTGTTGCTAATACTACCAAATGCAATGCTAGGAAAGACACCCCAATTACTTCCGTTCCTACCAAAACTCCCTTCAGAGAAGCGGGGGAGCAGCCGGGGCTGGCCCTGTACCAGGAAGGGCCTCCCCTACCTGTGCAACCTGGACAAGCCACGCCCATGGGCCTCCCTCAGTTCGGTTTCCTTTTGGGTCCGCGGAAGGAGTGGGCCGGGGCCTGAGCAAGGGTTAAGGCTCCTCAGTCTAAACACGGGGGCCTGCTTACCCCAACTTGTTAGCAAAACAAACAAAACCAAATACAGGGGAAACTGCCAACTGAACTGTCTTGAAGAGAAAGGCGCCGACTCCACACACGGTCCAGCTTTGTCCCTGAAACTGTTACAATGCTAAAGTCAGGTCCTGACATTCATCTGCCAGTGACCCCAGCACCCCTCGCAGACTTTGCAATGCGAACGTTGACAACAAATTAAAGCGTTTTGCAAATTAACCCCCTCCCCACAATGACACGCTAACTGCACTCACACGGGAGTTACAGTCAATGTCTTAAAAGTCACACACCAATTTCTCCCATAACCACTTGGTGGTTAAATCGCCCTGAATAAGCCGAGAGGGCAGAGCGTAATGAGAAACTTTGTTTCAGGTGGCTGTGAGTCCTGAGACCGGGCACAAAGCGCCCTCGCCCAGGCGAGGACCTCCTTGATGCGATGTGACAGCAGCTTTGTGAGGGATCATAAATAGTTCCAATAAGCACAGTAAGTTCTGCGGGCCGCGCTCGGCCTCCCGCGTCCCTGCGCTGGGACCAGGCGATTCGCGGCTATTCTTCCCCAGGATTCGCGCCCCGGCCACCCCGGCCACTGCACGGTCCCATGCAGGCCCCCGGCTCCGGGCCGCCGCCAGCCCGCAGGCCGGGCGCACCCCGCGTGCCCGGGGGTCTCGGGTCTTGGGAGCCCGCCGCCCAGGCCCCTGCCCCCACCCACGCCCTTGGCGGCGCCCCTCGTCCCAGCACCCGCCCCGGAGGGTGGGCGCCGGGCCGGCAGGGGGAAGGTGAGTCCGGAGGTGCCGGCAGCCCGCGGCCATGGGGCCAGGCCGCGGCGGGGCCGAGGGCACCGTGGGGCGCGGAGAGGACCGGTCCCCTGGCCCCTTCCAGGGCGCGCCCCGCCTCGCGAGCCCGCCGCGCTCCAACTCCGCCGAGCGGCCCAAGTTTGCGGCCCCCGCCCGGAGCCCGCCGGCCGCGCTTACCTCGCCTCCCGCCGCCCGCCGAGGCCGGAGGGCAGCGGCGCGGGTCCCGGGGTGGCGGCCGCGCCCGCCCAGGCGCCGCTCTTTGTCTGCGCCGCTCCCTCCTCCCGCCGCTCGGCGGACGATGCCGGCCCGGCCGGACCCCACCGGCCCGGGCGCCGCGAGCTTCCCGCGGCCGAGCCTCCCCGCCGCCCGATCGGCCCCGCGGCTCCGGCCTGACGATCCCGGCGGCGGCGGCGGTGGCAGCGACCCCTCCCCCGGCGCGCGGCGCCCGCCCCTCCGCGCTCCTCCTCCCGCCGCTCCTCCCCGCCGCGCCGTGACACCGCCCAGGGGCCTGCCGCCCGCGCTCCGGTGGGGGCCCAGACCCACCTGGGGGCGCTCAGGCGGCTGCGGGCCGCACGCGGCCGGGCTGGGAACCGCACCAGGGCAGGACCGCTCGGGGACGCTCAGCTCGCGGGGCGCGCGGCCGCCCGGCCTCCAGGAGCGCAGCGCGGGCCCAGCGGCCAGGGGAGGAAAGGGTCCCCATTCCTAGAACAACTAGCACGGGGAGTGGGGGCAGGGTGGGGGTTGAGGGGCAAGAGAGGAAATAGAGGCCACAACTTCCAGCCTCCGGTGACCGGGTGGTCTCGCCCTCCTCTTTTTGTTTGTTAGGTTTTCTTATCACAACACTCTAAGTTGTTCGACAGCCCCCCTCCCGGAAGTGTTCCCACGGCCAAGCAGGCCTGTTGTCCATCAGAAAAGTGACTTCCATAAAAATGTCACTTCCTCTCTGTAATTGCTTGTGGGCATTTTTATTTATTTGCCTTCTATCTATTTACTTTCCCAACCAGACACTTTTTCACTCCATCATTCTCGTCGGGAGCACTTCTGAAGAGGAAGAGAGGAAACCCAACCTCTGCTGCCTCACAGGGGTGGACTCAAGCACAGCCAGGGTCCGAATCCAGCAAGGAGCTGCAGGAATGTGGGCCCCAAAGGAGTTGTCACTGGTATTGTCACTAGTAGTGGGACTGGTCCAGGCCACCTTGCCACAGGTAGTGGCTTACCTATAAACGAACTTGGAATATTCACCCCAAGAGGAAGGGGAGAGACACATGTCTCTTTCACAGGCCTATGCAACCAGATGTCTGTTCTCCAATCCCCTTCCCATATGGGTTCCCAAAAGGAAATCCTGCTATTCAAATGACTCTGATTTCCTGGCGGGATAGCTTGGATTCTTGTTAATGAGATTCTTTCTTAGGTTCCTGGCTTCTCATTATTATTAAGGCAGTAACAATTTACCCAGGGTGCCATCACGGTGACCTTGGACTCACTATCCCCTGCCTTGACCCCAAAGGGAAGTACCAGAGGAGGGTAAGTAGAGCCATTATAACTTTGAAGTCACAGTTGAATGACTATCTGCTTCTTCAGCTGTGGAACCTTGCAGAGGTGTTTCTTAACCTGTCTGTAAAATTTTCAGATGAGGAGATAACATTGACTCAGCTCCCGTTGTCAGTCCTTGACACACCCCCTGGCAGTAGGGAGCACTCCACAGGTCATTAGCTGGAGGGAGGCCTGGTTTGGAGCAGGGGTGGCTCCGAGGTCAGGGAACTGCGGCAGCCTCCGTCTTTGTTTTGACTTTGGGAAAGAAGCAACCTCACTCAGTTCATCCTTTTATGAAAACCTTTCCTACTGATAAAGAAAGCAGAAGTATAGTCAATGGTCTGGTCCATTAAGTTTTAAATTAGTTTATTCAAAATAAGTGTAACAACATTGACCCAGTTTTTAACTTGTCTGCTTTGTAAACTTTCATTGAATCATGGTTCTTGAACTGCTCTTCCTTCTCTGATTCTTTGTAAGAGTCACCAAAGACATTTTCTATCTAAAACCCAAAGTGTCTTTTTCAATCTTTATCCTACGAAGTTTTCTGAAGCATGTGGCATTTCTGCCATTTCCTGAAACTCGGTCATCTTTCCATTTATCTACCTTTCTGACCCACCCATGTCGGCCTTTCTAGGGCCCGTTGTCCTCCCAACCTCTAACAGTAATATCTGAAAGCGGACTGCGGCCCTTTGATTTTTATTCTGATATGTTGATATGTGCTTTTGTTTTTTTAAGAGAATTGATCATGTTTTGTATGCTTCCAGTCTGGTTGTTTAGTTATTACCTCCCAAATCTGTAGCCTCGCGACTCCCCAGCTTACCTGCCTTTCCTCTGCCTGGCTCCTCAGCTCTTCAAACTCACCACATTCAAAATGAAACTTAATCTCCTTCCCAAACTGGCTCTTGCTCCCAGTCTCAGGCTTGGCACAGAGTCCACCAGCACCTCAGCTCCTGGGAGAAACCACATTACAATTAGTTTCTTCCTTCCCTCTCTCCAAGCTCTCCCCAAAGACAATGAGGAGAGGGCTCTACATTACCTTGGGATCCCTCTCAACCTAAATCTTTATGATTCTGACTGCTAGTGAGTCTTAAACACCTCTTTGCACCATCTTTCCCATCTCCAATACCACATTCTAATTTTTACATAATTACTAACAATGGTTATAATGTGTCTCTTTTAAATTCTTTGCATATATGGGCTCTAACTCACACACAATCGTATTATTCTCATTTTATTCATGGAAAAAAACCAAACCAAAACAAACGGTAAGTGAAGGAGCTGGGATCAGAACCGCACATACTCGACTCCAAACTCTGGTACCCACTGCCTTCCACTCGGTCTCCTGTTCACTCACTTCCTGCCATCCCCCACATTCATACTGGATATCAGGGTCGTGCTCACCTTCCTAAAAATTGCTTGTCTTGTACCTCCCCTGTTCAGGAACTTCCTGTGGCTCCCCATTGCCCACACAGTTCCTCCGAAGTTTTCCAACAGCAGAAAGTTTGAGCCTGCACTTGTAGGGAGGCTGAGGAATTGAGCCCCGAGAGGCCCGTATTCATGCGTTTCCCAGGGCCGCCTTAAGTTACCTTCACCTGGGTGGCTTAACACAGAGAACTACATTCCCTCCGCGTTCTGGAGGCCAGGAACTGAAATGTCCAGATCAGTGTGTCAGCAGGATGGTGCTCTCTCTGGTCTCCAGGGGCCATCCTTCCTGCTTCCTTCAGCTTCCGGTGCAGCTTCCGGCAGCTCCAGGTGTTCCTTGGATTTGTCAGTATCCCTCCAGTCTCTGCTTCTGTCTTCACATGGCCCAGACCCCCATGTGTCCGACCCCTTCCTCTCTTCTTATAAGGACACACTGCTTTTAGGGCCCACTCAAATCCAGGGTGATCTCATCACCTGAGCCTGCCTCATAACATCTACAAAGACCCCGATTCCAAATATGGTCTCACACTCACAGGTTCTAGGTGACACATCTTTTTGGGCCACCATTCAACTCACAACAACACCCAGCATAGGGAGACATTTACTTGAAGGTGATGTTTAATCTAAAAATGTATGTTTTTGCATTCTATTCCATGAGTATGTCCGTGCGTATTTTACCATTAAAATGTCTTCACTAATGAGGTATTGAAAGAACCAAAAGCATAAACCTTTCCTCCAAAATCACATCAGCATTAAATCCTGAGATTTATCTTCCACAGGCCTCTTGCACTTAGTCCTACCATAACCATCTCTTTGCTTCCCCTGCCCCAGGATAAGCTGTCTGCTCCAGTCACTCTGCTGTCCCCGCTGTGCCCCACTTGGTCACACTTGTTTCTGCCTCCGACAGTAAGGCTTTCCTGTCCCCTCCTCTTCCTTCAGAGCTCCACTCAGGCCCCTGCACCTCTCCTGGGACTCACGGAAAACAAAGGTGAGGTTGAGGGCACCGTGTCAGTCCAATGTAAGAGGCCCGGTCAAGGGCATTTACCTGGGTTGCGGGTTTAATTCCCAGCCCCAGTTGGAGTCTTGATGTCTCTCTCTCTCTCTCTCTCTCTCTCTCTCTCCCTCCCCCCTCCCTCTCCCTCTCCCTCTCTTCCTTCTTCTCTTCCTTCTTCCCTTCCTTCCTCCCTCCCTCCCTTCTACTCTCTCCCAAATTCAATTGAAAACTATTGTTGGGTGATGATGAACAACAACAACAAAGATTAAATGAGATAATGTAAACATGTCTCAGCTGTGTTTTTGGCACATGGTAAACACATGTCCTATGACCTCCATTCAATTAAACATACAGTGTTGAGTGTGTTTCTATTTGTAGCACATAAGAACCAATTCAGGAGAAATAAAGATACATTGAGTTTTAATGTTGGAGGAAAGATAAGAGCGGTAAACAAATAATTGTAACATAAAGCTAAATATGAAAAGTATCAAACAAAGCATGTTCTGAGAATCAGACATGACTTTAGGTTTTAGGTGGTGGCATTAGAAGTGGACCTTGAGAGATGACACGGTGGGAAGTTACCATAACTTGGCTGCCCGGCCTCCGCCCTCCTAACCTGGGCAGGAGACAGAGGGCCCTCCACCTCCCCTCCCTGCTCTCCCAAGCCCCTTGACAGGGACGGCCTGGGCTTGGCCAGTAGACCCTCCCACTCAGGACTCTGAAACTGGAGAGGGGGCACAGAGGAGGGAAATGAGCTTCAGTTTGCTCTTGCTGGAAGGGTCCCAGAACGTTCCTTAGGAGGTCATGAACAGGCTTGGTTCCCCCTTCTCCCAGCTTTTCCAGCCCACCGTCCAACACACACACACAGGATACTCGATATCCTTCCAGCAAATTCCTGTCCTGCTTCAGGTAGCCAGACGCACTTTCGCTTCTCGCAACCAAAACCCCTGAATAACACAGACTACGGGATTTTGAAATGTGGAGACAGACAGGAGGACATTCCCAGTGGAGGGAGCTTAGAACCCTGAGGCAGACGGGGGTGTGGGAGGGCTCCATGGAAATCAGGAATGAACCATTTGCCTCACTGGAGCAGAGGATGCTGGGAGAGGGTCCTGAGGAGACAGGAAAGTGTGGGCATCTCCTGGGCTTGGCAGCAGGAGAACTCATGGGGTGCACTCACCAAAGAACACCTGAAGGGCCCTGGCCGGTTTGGCTCAGCGGTTAGAGTGTCAGCCTGCAGTCCAGAGAGACCCGGGTTCGGTTCCTGCTAAGGGCACGTACCTCG